AAAAAACAATGCATTGCATATAGCACCATTAGTTTTAAAATTTATATATAAACAGAGACACATACTCATGTATGAGCATATACCGGGGTGCCAAAAAAATGTATACACATGACTTGCATTCTTTTGTTACTGGTATATATTATTTCAATTTTAAAACAGTTTTTCCTTTCTTAAAATGTGTATATTTATTTTTTGGCACCCTCTGTACACTTCTCATTCTCTTTCCGTTTATATATTTCAATTTCATTCTATTTATATATATTACGGCTTTTAAAAAATAACTTTTAAATTTAGATATCCAACCTATTGTGTAACACAAATGAAGTAACTATCAAATTTGACTTCACTGATAGTTTTTAAATTTAAGAATCATAACGTCGGCGTTCTAGGGACAAATTTTTTTCAAGTCGAGTTCCTCCATTTTAATCTAGCACAATTAAAATCCTAAATCTCACTTCCAAGAAGAAACACATATTACTTACACTGCAGTAGAATTAGAGAGGTAAGACCCAGACCTTACCTGACCAGGTCTCCATGAAGCTGTAAATAAAGACTTTCCTTTCCCTCTCCAGCACATATTTCTGATGCTGGTGTGTCTACGGTGCAAAGGACAAGATGTAAGTCAGAGGAGGAGGAGGCAGAGGAGGTGCTGGTTGTGGTGGCAGTGGTCGTATCTGCTCCATAAAGGTAAACACAGCCTCTCTTCACATCTTCTCTCAGCCAGTCTCTTTCTCGAGAACCAAATCTACTTCTCCTATTCAAACAATTTCTGCTTCCATTGTGTTTCATATTTCTCTAAAAAATATCAAGAGAAAGAAATCCTTAGCTAGAATGTCTGAGTTAGACATGTTTATTCCTAACCACACCTTTCCACTCTATAATTCACCAATACTCTCCTCAATTGAGATCGAATATCACCTCCTCCAGAGCCTTCAGCATCCACTGTGCCCATTCTTAACCTGGAAAACTTAGTTTTCTTTACTGCTAGATGTTCATGTCTCTGTCCACGGTCTTCTCAGACCCATTCTTTTTCTTGTGTTTTCAGAAAAATGTCAAGAATAATAAAACATCTGTATACCTACTAACCAACTTTCACGAATTTTAATATTTTGTCATATTTAGCTCCAATCATTCTAAAGAACATATATATATATATATATATATATATATATATATATATATATATATATATATATGATATATTCTTACATATACAGCTGAAGCCACCTGGTACCCCCACCACAATCCCATGTCCTCCTTTTTCTCCCCAGAAATACTCTACTGTATTTGGTATTTATCATCCCATGCGTTTTATATGTTTGTCATATATGTATATATCTATAAGCTATATATTGTATTGTTTTACATAATTTAAAAGTTTAAATCCTAACATACTTATATTTCACCCTGCAATTTTTTTATTTGATTCTACATTGGTTTAGAGATATATCCATGTTAATACACCAAGCTCATTAATTTGAATAATATCCCATTTCTGAATACACTGCAATTTATCCATTCTGCTGATGGCACTTACTTTGTTTCTAATTTTTCACTGTTGGAAATAATGCTGCAATAAACATTTTTGTACATGTTTCTATATGCAAACTGGAAGTTTCTCAAGGGTCCTGACCCTCTGCCTCTTATACCAAATAAGCAAGTACAGAAACAACACAATACTGCACAAATATTCTTTCCATTCTCGTTATGGTTTTTAAAAAATTACTGTTGCACTTGATAATTTAGGCATGTGAAATTCAGACAGATTGTAGAGTCACGTTCTGTCAAAGCAAAAACAATTGCTACAGCAATATAACAAGATTCGAAAGATCAACACTTATTTACCTACTTTATTTTTATGATAGGCCATTTCCGTTCTCTTAATAAAAATTTCCACTAATAATCACACTGACACTCCTCTCCAGCATCATGCACCACTGCCCTTCTGTCTGCTTCAGCCACATCCAACTACTTGTAATTCCCCAAACACACCAACTATTTCACAATTCTGTGACTTGTCTGAAATGGTCTTCTCCATCTTGTCCACCTAAGTAGTCATTCTTCGAAACTCTACTCAGATGTCACCCTCTATATGCTCTCTATGGAGCCCACTTTTCTCCTCCTACCTAGTAAAAATTAATGACTACTCTCTCCTCAGCAGAATTTCTTCACCTTGAACATAATTCTATTACTTTGTGGATCACAATGGGTTTTAAATATTTATTTGATATTTCTTCCTCTCTTCTACACTGAGAATCTACTACAGTGCCTCAACACCTGGGTGGCAGAGATATGCATGCAGAACTTAAATGGAATCACAGAAATTTATTCCGGGTCTGTACATTAGCCCAATTAGCTCTGGCAAGAAGTTAAACAAACCTGAGGGGGAAAAAACCTCCATTTTTATAGAGAATCCTACAACCTTTTCTTCTTATCAGCCCAAAAATAAATAAAATAGTTTTGCTACTTATTGCTCATTGGAAAACAGAGATACTTATTAATAAGGAAAATATTATTTTTATAATTATTGAGATTAATATTATAGATAATTGTATGATCTAAAATTCAATTTCTTAAGATGATAAAGAAAGGGGAAGGAAAAATTAGCACGTATTCCCATGTGGGAAGAAAATAAAATAAGAGTGAAAATGGTTTAATTGTTTAAGTTTAGGATAACACAGGTAAACTGGTCATTTTGCAAATCTTAGGGATTTGGATATAACTAACTATACAAAACCATCAAGATTACTGATTCTAACTTTAGATAAGTAGGATAAACCCCTACAACAAGTGGGAATTAGGTCTCTCTCTTCTCATCAAGAGCATTTTCTTAAAGCTGAACATCTCAGAATTAACAAAGGGCTTTCAAGTACTTATTTTATAAACACAGGGGCCATCTTGGTTGTACCACTAAATAATTTTAACCACTGAATACTTCACTGGTTAATTTTAAATATTCCATATATTTTAATCTTTGGGAAAGATAAACTGGTCGATCTGAAAACAGTATTACGTATGGTACATTTATACCAAGTTCTGCACTCAGTGAAGAGGAATTTTGATCACTGCTAGTAAGAGACAGCAAGTAGAGGGCCGGCCAAGTGGCATGTTGGTTAAGAGCTGGCTTGGGACGCCAGAGGGCCCCGGTTTGGATCCCACATATAAGGGCCAGTGACACTGCCCTCTACAGCTAAGATGCTGAACAACAGCTCAACCTGGAGTTGGGCAGCTGTGAGTCACTGGCCACGTAGGCTGCAGTCCCTGCTGCNTAAAAATAAATAAAAATAAATAAAATAAAATGGGAATAACATTTAACTCACAAGATTGTTGTGAGAATTAAGTGAGGTGATCTACAAAAAGCTTTAACATTGAAAATAATTCTCTTTACACTCTTTCATTTTTCCAAAATTTCTCCAATGAATACATATTATATACTTCATTACATGGCAAAAAAAAAAATTACTAAAAAAAAGAATGCCTTAGATTGTCAATTATCTTATAAAGGGCTATTATGAAGAAAGTACCTATTCCTCTGATTAGATAATATAAGACTGAACTAAAGCAATTAAAAGTTGAGTAAGACTGCTAAAAAAGACCTTTAAATAAGGATGATTAAATAGTGAAACTGAGTAAGGGACACCGTGCCAGTTACTCTCCAGGAGGGCCTTTACTCAGAACAAAGTCCACCCCTATCTTCAATGATTTAGGCATTCCAATTGCCTGGCAGTACCTGACTGACCTTGAATAGGTTACCAGACCTCTCACAAAGCCTCAACGTTCCTCCTGTGAAAGGAATGATAGATTACCTCCCTTACAGTTGTAAGGATTTAATGAGAAAATGTGTGTAAAGCACTAAGCACACTGACTGGAAAAAGAAAGCACTTAATGTTAGCTAAAATCTATCATCATCCTTTGGCTGGATGAGACTTCTTGAGCTCCTACTCTAGCAATGAAAATATATTCATTTTTTCAAATCACAGTTCAATCGTGTTTTCATTATTTTCTAATCAATTATATTCAAAGAGCTATTTCATTACAAAATTATCAAGGCCTAAAAAGAGACAAACCCTCCATTTTTAGCAGTTTAGATTCACAGAAGTAAATCATATCACATTTGGATTCTTAACTAACTGCACAACTAGTAGCAGCAAGCCAATTCAGGTGGGGTTTCTTCCACATTTTTACTACCTTTGTATACATACTTATACACTAGTATACAAATGAGTAAGTTTAAATACATCCTCTCCATCAATCACTACCAGCTATATGTAGGTCAAAGCTTTCCATCTGATAACATTAGTTCGGTATCAGTGTTAAGATTTAGGAAAGCCTAAGGATCACCCAGTCTGATCCTTTCATTTTACAAATGGATTTAGGAAATGTAGTTAACTGATGAATAAGGAAAACATTCAAATTCTTATCTATTATTTCAGGAATTAGTCCAAATCCTAATAGGAACACATAATAAACCTCAGTTTAGACTTTTAAAATGACACCAATTTTTAATTCAGCTAAAGGTGCTACTATTATCACCACATTTTAGGTGTAAGTAGGAGCTTCCTTTCTCACTTTCAACAGTGCTAAATCCACAGCTCTGAATTCTGTTTCAAGACATTTATTTATTACAGGGAAGAGGAATGAGAGAAAATCAGTGGTTAGGCACTTAAGGAGTTCTTATATAACGTCAAATTCAAATAGTAATTTTTTTTAAAAAGTTAAATCAAAGAGTTCATAGATACAGTATAAGTCTACAATGAGAATACTTTTCTTCTTCGTGTTTACATAAATATTTTTTAAAAATACAAATGGCATGGGCCAGCCGAGTGGCACGTTGGTTAAGAGTTGACTTGGGACGCCAGCTCTGAGCAGCAGGCCCCCAGTTGGGATCCCACATGAGGGCCAGTGACACTGCCCTCTACATCTAAGATGGTGAACAACAGCTCGACCTGCAGCTGGGCTGCCTTGAGTCGCTGTCCACGGTGTAGGCTGCAGCCCCTGCTGCAGTGGACTGCCATAAGCTACCGTGAGTGGCTGACAGCCAGCGTGAGCGGTCAGCAGCCGTTGTGAACTGCCAAGAGCCACCGTGAGCGGCCGTTCAGAGGCCAGCGACCGATCTGTTTCACCTGGGAAAAGCGCAATGGTAATACCAACATGGGCCAGTAAAGCAACGTCCTCCGCAACTAGACTGAAGAACAAAAGGACAGCAACTTGTCTGTTCCCCTTCCCCCAATTCCCCAGCGCTGTTCCCATACC